TTGTTCAGTTGGGTAAGTGTTTTACGGTGCCTACAACTGCATACGGTCATAGGCATATGAGCGCGCGGATTAAACATTTTCAGTTGGTAGGTTAAATTTTGAATTTTGTCCAAGTGCCGACCGAAGCCTACTCTTATCGATTTTAGACCAACAGGGGGTCTTTAATGTACGCAACTTGCTCACGGGACCTCCGAGATTTTTCACCCTTGTCTGAGAAGGCTTGGTGTAAATCTCCCCTACCAGAAGATCAGGGGTGTGGCTGAAAGACAGTTTCGCAGTAAGACGGAGCCAAGGAGTAGCAGTAGAAAGACTGCAGAAAGAGTCGGGAGCCCAGAGGAGAGGGCAAAGGATGTGAGGGGGTGGGGGCTGAATTTGGAGACGAAAGAAGACGACAGAATATATTGCCAGAGAGCAGGAAAGGAAGTGAAAAAAGACAATTTCAAAGAAGAACATTTTTCGGTCGCTCGCCGGATTCGAACCCTGGACCTTTGCATTCGAGAAGCGAACACCTTAACCTCAAGGCGACGAGAGCCCCCTGGGGTATTTTACATAAACTTATGAAGACAAGTGTTGTTAAACAAAGCCTCAATTGTTGCAGAAAAAATATAATCAAGTTAAGACAAATTGATACTAACTGCTGTGCAAAGTGTAGGGGAACACTGATTCACCCGTTAAAAATTAAGACATTTGAGGATAATTTGTTTAAAAATTCGTGACGCAACTTATCCTCAAATATCTTTGAATAACCGTCACTCATACTTTGCACACCAATTTGTATAAATTTGTCTTAAATTAATCATATTTTTCCACAGCAATTGAGGCTAGACTAAAAAATGTTTCTTCACAAATCTATAAAACACTATAAATCTCCGTCACGCGGAAAATGGGATTGTTCACAGTACTTCCCGCTTCTAGCACACATTTTGTATACACGCATATGGTCAACGTCACAGCTCACCAAAGACACTTTTTAGTGGCAAAACGTGTAATAAGAAATTAATATTATAGTGAACACATCAAACATTTTTGCACATAAGGTTCTCAAAAAATGCTTTCAATAAGCATGAAGTCGCGATTAGGGCTTTTAAAAGCTATATTGGCCAAGCTGTAAACTTTTTAAAAACTGTAGAAACCATCGACTTGGATTTTAAAAAAATAAATTATTAAAGCATTTCCTAGAATACTAATACCGTGTACAGGTGTTTGAAAAAATATTCATCAGATAAGACAAATTGATATAAGTCATTGTGCAAACGTTGGAGAATCTATGTTCAATAGTTAAGAAGATATTTGACAATAGGTTACGCCACGAATTTGTGATCAAACTTTAGTATTACGTATTACTCATATGAAAGGAGCCTGGGGGCTCTCATGGCTTAGACTTAGAGGTTACAGTGTTCACCTTTCATTCAATGGGCACCGGGTTCGAAACCTCACAGCGACGGAAATTTTCTTCTCTAAAATGTTTTCCTCTCACCCCCTTTACTGCTGTCTAACCAT